CCGCCCCACCGCCCCTACAACTACCCAGCTCTCCTCGTTTCCCGGCTCTCTCCCAACAACTACCCCCCGGTACAGGTCCCTCTACTGCAGACAATACCCAGACACCCTCTTCTCCCACAACTATCTGCCCACCCCTCCAACAATCACCAGGCTATCTCCGGCGGCAACTACCGGGAGCTCCGGCACCACCACCACAAACTCCCCCACCTCGGCGAACTACCCGGCTCCTCACTCAGTCCTCTTCTACCTCCTCCCTCCTCAACAACTCTCCAGCCCCCAGATCCCCCCAGCCTTCTAGCTTCAGGGTCCCAGCCTACCGGAGGCCCTTTCGGCCCCTAATCTCCGAAGCTCCGGGTTTCCAGCTCCCACTCCCCCACCCCACCCCCACACACACAGCGTCTGATCTCCAGCTACCCTCAGCCTAGTCTCCCACTCCTCTTTCTCCAAGGTCTCACAACTCGTCTTTCTCCCACCACCAGGGGCAGGCCCCCGTCCCCCTCCCCGCGCTCCCTCACTGGGCTCCGGGGCTCGACCTCCAAGTTTGCCAATTGATTCCTCACCCGCCCCCCGCCGGCTCAGCGTTCCGTGCCGGTCTAGAGCTCACCTTCCGGACTGGGCTCCGCCATGGCTTCCAGCATCGCCCCCTCCCCTCCTCCTGGTCCGGCGCCCCCCTCCCCTAACCCGGGACCCCGGTGCCGCCTCCGGTGCTCGGTACTCCTACTGCCTCGTTCCACAGAGGTGTCTGCCTCGGCCCGGTTGTGACTCGAATCCGCTAGCCGCTGCCGCCACCTCCCTCTACCACTGCCTCCCGCACTCCCGGACCGGGCCCCCTCCCCCCGCGCCGCCGGCCGCCTGCTCCCTCCTCCTCTTCTCTTCTCCCTCCCTCATCTCCTCTCCCCCTCCCTACGCGGGCGCCGATGCGCAATGCATCAAGGGGCTTGTAGTCCGTCCCGGGGCAGCGGAAAGGGGACTGCATAAACCTTGGGAACTTCAGTCCCCAGCAAGCCACGGGCTGGCGCAGGCGCACTAACCGGCTCCCCTCCCCCGGGGAGTGGCGGGGAGATTAGGAGCAGAGGGTAGAGCGGAAAGGCGCGCGCAGGCTCCTGGGAAATGTAGGCTGAGCGGCACTAAGAAAGAAGGGAAAGCCATTAGAACTCTCGGCCACCATACTGCCTCATTCTGCAACTCCTTTCTCCCCCGGGGACCGCCCCACTTCCGGCCAGACGGAGAAGTGCTTGCTGGGAGATGAAGTTTTCCTGGTGATAATGGCTCCCTCCCCCCAGTCTTCTCCCTCCCTTGGATTCCCCTCCACTGGATTTCATATGCTGGCACAAAATCAGGCCAGGTGATATACATCTGAGAACAGAGTCCTTTTACCAGCCTCCACACATGAAAACTTCTTTCTTAATCCAAAAGGTTATAATAAACTTGGATGTGTTTATCCAAAGCAAGTACTTTCAAACTTGCTCCACAGGAACCCACAGTAAAAAAGTTATTTTTTCCATAAGGACCCATATTAAACTATATAAAACTAAAGTTTCAAGAAACAATTCAGGGTATCTCATCCATCACAACAAAAGCACCCTTTTTATGCACAAAGCCTAACATCAACAGAATAAACTGAAATATATTACTATCCCTCCAACCTCTTTCCCACCACTGATGACTAAAAAACAAAAGGGGGAGGAAAAGAATACAAAGCAAAATCCAGTTCAGCTTGGTTTCCTCTTTATTGATGTGCCTCCTGCCTTCCCCCCACAATTTCAGTCCCTTCCATCTACCCCAAAAAAAGGTAGTGAAAGGAAAGGATTGTTGGGGTTCTGAGCCCCTTGGGCAGTTAGAAAGGGAACAGAAACCAAGACAATCACTGGATGTGACAGAGACTGACAATCAAGAAGTCTAAAGCAGAGTGGGAAAAGTGGTATAGAAAGGGGAAGAAAGGAGAAAGGAGAGGTACTCGAGGCCATCTCCTCCCACTAACCCCCCAGTTAAGAGGGTCTGGAGAAGAGCCTCAAACATTAGGAAGAGCAGGTCCTGAAGGGAGGTGGTGTTTGAGCCTGAAGGAGGAGGTGGTCAAGGAAGGGGGGCCACCTCTTTCTCTGTAGAACGGGACCCCCCACTGCAGGGGCAGCAGTTTCACAGACCATAGACACTTTCATCACTGTACGCAATGTATAGGAAGAAGTCTTCTTCATGGTGTTCCTGGAGTGAAAACAAAAAATGATAGTGCTCGGACATCTGAGCTTTAGTTACTTGAACGACCTGCCATCCAAACACATTCTTCAAAAACCATTCTTTTTGAAGACCCCCAAAACCAGTGCCTTGATTCTCTTCCTCACTTGCTCTAAGCTCTAGCAGTGTAGCAGGATTATCCTTAGGAGCAGTCCTGGGCAAAAAAGATCTTCACTTCTTCTCTCAGTCTTGGGGAGGGGCTGGGGAGGATCAGGATCAGAACAGTTGCTCCAGCTCACTGTTCTCTCCCTTCTCCTTACTCCCACTGCCTGTCCAAACCCCCAAACCAGGACTATCCAGAAATTTTAAGGCCAAAGATAAAATTGAGAGCTAAGCAAGCCAGCTAGTCCAAAAACTACTGACCTAAAACTTTCTTCCCCTCCAGCTCCTCTAACTCCTCTCCAAAGCCTCCACTACTTCCCAGTCACCATACCTGGTATAGCTGACCCATCGTGGCACTGGTGGGTGGAATGACATTGTTGACAAAGAAAAACAAGGCATCCTCAGCTCGGAGATGAATTCGCTTCCGGATCAAGAAGTAGAACTGACCAACTGCCAAAGATACAAGGTGTGATAAAGTCACAGATAGCACAAATGCCCTCAAAAGAACAGCTGCTATGTGGAGCCTTCTCCCACAGAGATTGCACTCACACCCACAGGAAGCAAACTTGGGTATTGGGTCAGGTTCCCACCTGTGAGATCAGAAGGCACCAGGTATTTCTTCTTGTCAAGGTCTCCTATCCGAGCTTTGGGAGCCTTCTCTACTATCACCTGATTAAGGGAAGGGGAAAATTAGTACACAGTAGGTATAGAGCCCCACAGCTCCACCTGTCAGGAACTCAAGCAACAATATTTCTAGCATGCAAACCTACCCCAGACTCAATTCTTTGTCTCTGAACACGCGGTGCAGCCCTGAGTTGAGATTCTTACCCCAATGACTCAACTCACCTAAACATCCAAGTCCCTGTCATGATAAATTATTATCTTAATTAGACGGGGACGACTTGTCTGTGGCGACTACAGCTTCAATCTCAAGAACCCGGGGGAATGACCATGTGACATTCAGACTGTCAAACTCCCTACAGCCTCCCACACGAATCTCAAGGTCTCTCCCCCATCTACACCCCCTCATCCCCAGCTACCATCGCTACCCCACTCCTTTCATCTCGGGTCCCAGAGATAAGTTTCAGGTTCGTCCCCAACCCTGCCACAGCAGGAGGCTTGATACCCAAACTGCCCGTTCCGGACCCAAGCCCAAGCTGTGGCGTCAGCGTCAGCGCCAGCGCCCCGCGCCCTCGGCCCTGGCTACTGTCCTCACCGGGACCCGGTCCGGGTATTTCTTTCGGATCTTCTCGCCCTCAGAGCGGCGCTTCTCGAACGGATGCTCCTCTTTATATACGAACTTCATCCTCCCGGGAACCGGGCTGGACAAGGCTGGGCTGAGGGAACCCGGGAGGGGGGGGCCGGGACTGGGGGAGGCGGCGACGGCGGCGACGCGCGGGCAGATTCAGCGGAGCGATCCCAGGACTTGCGCCACTTCCCTATTCACCAACCCCGCCCCCGCCCATCAGGGGCCACCCCGCCTGCTATATTACGCCACTAGCGCAGCAGCCCTGACGCCGCTAGCTTAGCACCACCTACTGACCATCCCCAACCCCCACCCCCGCGCCACGCCGTCAGCGTAATCGCTTTGGAATAAACTTGTGGGCTACGCAGGCGACGTAGCAAAGGTGGCTGGCTTTTGCTGCCGTCGAAAATAACTGAAAACCCTTTTTCCCGACCTTCCCACACGAAGCTGGGGATAAAAAAGCTAGGAGATAGTAATCATAATTTGAGACTAGTTCACCAAAAATTCTTTTCGGACATAATGTGGAGGAAAAAGAGCAGAGAATTACAGGGATAGCTATTCAAGAAATATGCTGGTACGCTAAAGGCGGCCGTTGACACCAAAACAAAGTAGTACCCAAGTGGAAGAGGTGGCCTTCGGAAGTAGAGGAGGGCAGAAACGAAATATATGTTTAGAGAGACGCACAGAAAGTTTAGGTTCCAGGAATAAGTGGACCAAGAGAGAACGCAAAGGTCGGAAAGGTTAGGGACTACGTCAGCGCGGAAGAACACTTTCAGTATTTGTACCAACGAAATCATGTGATCTCGGAGAAGGGCGGAGCATCACGTGGCAGCTACAAGAAAGTAGACCCGGCTTCGGGATGGAGGGTGTGGGGAGGTGGAGCCGGATCCCGGAGGGAGGCTAGCCTGGCCAGGGGGGGGGGGGGGGGGGGGGCCGGCACCCGCCACCTGCGGGCAGTGCCCACCTAGCTTGTCTACGTCAGTACCCCCAGCCCGGCCTTTCTCCAGCTATATGCCTTTTCTGGCATTCCAGTTTCTCCTTTCATACTTCTGTGTCCTGCTCTGGAGCTCAAGTTCCCTCCAGACATATAGCGGTACTTTCGCTCCCCACCAGGGCGCAGAACCTGTCACTAACACCCTTCCGGCCAAAGCATCTGATGTCAATGTTCACTACTGCATCACTGACAAGCCAGCACCACCTTTTCCTCCTACCCCTCAGGACCAACAGTAGTCTCCCCCCTCTGCCTGAGGGACAGGATATATGTGAACAAAGACCCCTCCCTTCATTTACCCAAACCCCAGAGAAGGACCTAGGGCAGCTTTGGTTTCAAAGTTATAATGCATGGTTTAAAAGAGAAGAAAAGAAAAAAAAAAAAGAAAGCTGGTTACAGGTCTGAGGAAATCTAGGAAAAAGGGAAAACAGAGGGAAAAGTAAGGGGAGGACAAGTTTAGGGAAAATTCAGTGGCCCAAATCCCAATTTCCCACCCACAGCCCAGCCCTTGGAGTGAAGAATTAGATCAGTTTTATACAAGAGTTTTTAAAAAATCAAATCACAACAAAGCTGGCTTGGCTGCTCTCTGAGCCTCCTGGATTACCGAATGTCTCTCACTCTGGCCAGTCCTGTCTCTCCACCAACAGACACTGTTTCGGCTCTCTTAGGCCTCCGCTTATGTCTCAGTCTGGGGTTTCCAAGGAGTTTGAACACGAAGTTAGAGTGAGGCTGCTTCAGAGTCTGGCCCATGTGTCCATCCAGACTCCATACAGAGTGCAGGGCTCCCAGGGCAGAGAGGGTAGGGAGGGGCAGACCCTGCCCAGGCAGTCCTCACCATTGGACAGGGCATCAGACGGCATCCTGAGGGCTCACCCTCCCTTTCCCCCCCACCCCAACTCAGGTGGAGGGGTAGCAGCTGTCACCAGAGCCTATGTTGGTGAAGGTTTCGGCTCAGCACAGAACGAACATCAGCGGTGAACCTGGGATGACAATAACTTGTATTGGTAGAGTCCTTATAGTTAATATCCCCACAACACTAGTGTGAGGCAGCCTCACTGGAGATGTGGGGCAGAAATGATCACCATTTTCATATGATGTTCAGTTTGCCCAAAACCCAATGGCTAAAAGTGATGAGCTTTAGTCTAAGACGACCTGGGTTCAAATGCTAAATTCTTAAGGGAAGAAAGGTACGTAAGTAAAACAGGGCAAACTTTTTTTTTCCTCTTGGGACTCCCCCACCTCCTCCTTTCCTTAGAAATCTGTGTCTAGCTTCCCTTACCTGAGGGCATCCAGCATTGGAAGCAGGTTGAGAAGGGCGGTGTCGCTGGGGTCACTGAACCAGGATTTGATGGGGATGGCATTGTCTAAGTTGAGTGAAAAATGCACATGAGAAGAAACAAAGGATTCAAGAGAGACAGGGTGTTTTTTTTCTTTTATTTGGGAGTAAGGATCATTACTTTAAAATATATACCTCAGAACTACCACCCACCCAAACTCAATAACCTAAGTAAAAACCTTCCTGATTTATCCTCCAAAATAAAATTAAATTTCAATCACATCTCATACTAGTGTGAGGCTTCTGGTCAAACTTATTGTCATTGTGTCTCACCTGCTATGAGAAACCTGATTTATGAAATGGACATGTGGGGGAGGGGGAACGTCTCATTTACATTTAAAAGAGAAACAACTTGCATCCTGACCTATAGTAAACCAAGGCATCACAACTCCATGTATTCAAAATACCTCCTCAGAACCACTTCCTGGTTCTGCCAGACTCACCACCTTCCCCCATACCTGGATGGCTCCTGTAAGCCCCTGGGGAGTTATCCAGGATCACAATGCTGGAGAGGTCACTGTGGACCACAGAGAGGTCCTTGATGTAGCTGCCCAATTCCAAAGTGCAGTGCTGGAAGGCAGGGTGAGCTGGGCATTAAAAGGAAACTCGCCCTCTGTCACTGTCCTCGCCCCCATCCCAACAACGCCATGGGTAGCCAATTCCCACAAAGAGGAACATGCATTATACCACCACCCATACACACATGGCCTAGTAGGTCCCCTTTCAGGGCAATTGCTTCAAACTCAAATCACTTCCTGGTGGTCTGCCTCCAAAGCTTCACTCTTAGACCTGGATTCTAGCCTAGACCTGGATTCTAGCCTCTTACCTGTCTATAGTATCTCCTCTTGAGAATGCTTCTGCTATTGTCCAGTTTATCTGCCACAGCAGAGCCATAAATCTCCATGCTTGCTGTGAACACTACCAGCTCGTACCACTGGCTCACCTGAAATAAACAGGGGAAAGGGAGGTGTCAGAAGAGGTGATCATCCCTTTAGATATATAGTTCCCATTCACCAGGACTGCAGCCTTGTCCTTCAGGACTTTCAGCAATATCGAATTATCTCTGAGGACACAAAATTCTGAATGCCCCCAAACTCGAATCTTAGGCACCATACACCGTTAAGATTCAGAGATGCAAGAATAAAAAAGCAGAAAGCCTGTGGAAGAAAATAATTACATCAGCAAAACAAATGAACCCAAACTAGCGAAAGCCATTCTCCAACCATCCCACAGCCTCCCCTCTCCAAAATTGCCCTTACCCATTTCTCCTCACCCCTTACTTCTTCCAAGTCCTCTAAATTCCCAGAACCCTAAAACCATTCCTTTATAACAGAGCTCCCTTTGGCTTTCGCAAACTCACCACTTCTAAGAAGAAATCCACATGGGGCCTCTTATGTACAAAAAACCGGACAGGATGTTTGTCTATTACCACCTGTAGAGGAATAGGGAAGGGCTAGGGGAAGTCCTGAGCACCAGAACAGGGCCGAAAGGACACCCTCCCACTGCCTGCTTCCCTCCTTCATGCTGACACTGGTGCCACAGGATGGGGATGGGAATAACACATTCTGGGATTGAGAAAGGGAGTCCAGTCTAAGACGAATAACAGCCATCACCATTCCATCCCACCCCCACACACCTTGAGGATGAAATCAGGAGGTGTTCCAGGCCGGACGGTGGGCCTCAGGACCCCATCGTGATGGGAGTGAATAAGTGTCTCATCCAGATCCAGCACCAGGATCTTCCTTTTCACCTGGCCTGAACCACAACAGGAAGGGATAACATCAACCAACCTCCAGCCCAGATCTTGAACCCTACCTCACATTAAAGGAGTCTTCTCAGCCAGCACACATACCTAGCCGATTCCGGGACACAGGAGATAAGGGAAGGATATCATATCGAACAGTTTGGTACTGAATTACCTAAGAACAAGAGAGAGAATTAGAACCCTTGACAAGGAAATCTTCCCTAGTAACAACAGGTAGCACATGTTGAATATTTATTGTATGTTGGGTACCTTATAAGTGATTTAGGATTATTTCATTTATTTCTCAAAACAAGAACAACAACAACCACATTAACAATAATAATATCATCTCTGCTTTAAGAATAAAGAAACTGAGGCTTAGAGAGGTTAAATCCCTTGTCTAAGGCCACACAGCTAGAAATTATCTTATTTAGTTGTTTGTCCCCGCAGTTAGAATGAAAACTCCAGGAGAGCATGGATTTTTGTCTCCATCATGGCTGTATTCCTAGAACACTGTAGCAGGGGTGGTCAGTTAATATCAGAATCTATGAAGCGGTGGAGCCAGGATTGTACACATGCAGTCCCACATAAGAACTTGCCCTCTTAAGCATGAAATTATCCTGCTACACTGAACAAAGAAATACACAGCCCTTCCCACCTCCACCCCAAGAATTCTTCATGACAACTCCCATCACCTCCTGCTGGGAACAGATTCCTTAGTGGAGGAGGAATAGGAGTCAAGAGGGGAGGTCCTTGGGTCCCTAAAGGGAATAGAGGATGAGGCAATCCAGGGGTTGTCAGGTCAGCTAAGTTCCTCTGGCTGGGGGCCACCAGGCCTATTTTAACCAGCCACCTGTCCATTTCTGTCTCTAAGAGCCAAGTCACAAGTTGCAAAGAACCTCAGCCCTCTGAACAGCCTCCTTTTCCTGGTACCCAGGGCAAGGCAGAGAACACTGGAAAGCCCCACCTGCCAAGCCAACTGACAGGGTGTAGAGAAGGCCAAAGTGAAGTAAGGGCTGTAAGTGAGAAGTTAAAGGACAAGGACATCACCATCTCAGCCTTCCAGTTTCTCCAAGCCTTCTCTAGAGGCTCCTATTTCTAATATTCGGATCTCCTCCATGCAAACCCTGGTAATTCCCTCCTCTGCTCTTTTCTTCTTAGGCACAAATGCTTTTCAGTCCATCCCTAGGCCCTGAGTCTTACTAGAACCAGGCTCCCCCCTGCAAACCAAAGGGCCCTCTCCCCCTAATCCCAAAGCATCTGCCCTTCTTTTCTCCCTGGACTGTGATGAGGGCCACAACAGCTCGAGTGTCCTGCCCTGCTATCTCGGGTTGCACATGCTGGGCATGTAGGGAATGCTCCAAGCATCTGCCAGAAGGGGGTGGGGGGTGGAAACCAGATTGGAAGGGAAGACAAAGGGCTGTAGGGTCAGTGCCACGCAGAGAAGAGCAGCTAGCCTCTGGATGGGCTGTGGCATTATTCCCTGCACCCAGAACAGAAAACTGATGTGTTAGGGAGAGAAAATGTGATGTTCAGAGCTAGCCCAGGCAGAGAGGATGGTAGCTAACATATAAAGAAAATCATAGGAGCTAGCCCCACACACATCTCAGCATCTATGACCCCAGATTCTTCTTGGATCCTAACTCTTGTCTCAGGTAAATAGCCCTACCTACAACCATAACCACCCAGAACAATCCTCACCCTAAATCAAAAAGTGGAAAGAGTAAAATAGTAAAGAAGACATTGAAGCCAAGGCCAAACCCATTCCCCCAAATCAAAAAGTCCACCATCACTACCACCTAGGGCTTTCTGGAAATTCCTTGACCTAGCAGTCCCTCTTATTCTTTCAAATTTTACTGAGGTATGCCAAAGAGTACAGACTAGAGAACCTCTGCACCCCAGCTCACTGAATTTCCCCAGACTCCTCCAGAAGATTTTTCCCAGTGGCGATGAGAACACAAGAGACCATTCATTAAATGATGTTAGCCAAGGAGCTTTGACATTGGGAAAAAGCCATAGTGAAGGAAACCCAGAGCACATGCACACAGTCTCCATTGCCCACAGTATCCCTCACAGTGAATGCTAGGGTCTCCAGGAGAAACAAGCATGCCTTCAGTCAACTGACAAACACCGTCTTCTAATAGGGACACCCAAACTTTAAAGTGCTCCCTTCCACAACTAAAGAAGCCCAACATAAAAGCATCTTTCTTAGTCCCAGGGTCTCAATAAATCCAGATACCCACACTCACACTATGCAATAAGTTTCTAAGGCCTTTTTGGAGGAGTTCCCTTAATGCAAACCGCAGGGATTTCTCCTTCACACCCAGGGCTTTTCCCAAGTTTCCATTCTCGTCACATATGCCCTCCCACCCACCGCCACCCTAGATACATAAGCCTGTCACTCCCTTGTTATAAGACCAAACACACACGGAGGGTCTTTCACAAGCCCACATCAACAAACAGATCTGCTGCCATCAAACAGGTGTTCCCCGACTCTCGCTTTCTTCAGCAACAACTCCAGCTTTCTTAAGGGCACCCCACCCACCACCCTAGACCCCAAGAGTTGCAAAATCCTGTTCCCGTCTAGGTCCCCGGATCTCGGTTTCTAATACAAGGGTCTCCCTCCTCCCCATCCCATCCCACGCCCAGCTAAAGGTGTCCTAATTCTTAGAGAATTAGCTGGAGAAGCTGCTGCCAGGACTCCGTTCCTAGGCCCAAACAGAGGCCCGATACTTTCTGAAAACCCGTGAGCACCGCTGACAGAGGTCCCCACCACCACCACCGGCACCCACCCAGGCTCACCGTGCGGATCTGCCTCCGCAAAAGGTAAATGAAGAAGCTCCACAGCTTGGCGGCGAAGGCCACGAACGTGCGCAGCCCCAGCAGACACTGCGTCCGCATCATCCCGATGACCCCGGCACCGCCGGCCCTGGGGCCCCCGCGGCCCAGCTCCGCCAGCCCCCCGGGGCAGCCCCCCGCTGCCGGGAGGGGGAACGGGGGCCCCGAGTGGCAGGAGAGGCCGCAGAGAAGGGCACGGAGCGGAAGGCTCAGAAAGCCACCCTCAGCGAGGGGAAAGCCCAGAGGAACGGGGAGCTGGGGTACAGGCGTGGGTAGCCCGCAGGGGCCCACATGGGCAGGGAGTGGCACCGACGGCTTCGCAGAGGCTGCGGGCCGAGATAGGTCGGAATAGGACGGGGTCCTCGGAGACCAGCAGGAAAGGGGCTGAAGAATTGGGGGAGGGGGCAGTGGG